TAGACGAATCAAAGACTGGTTTGTCTAGAGGTGGTGGAGTTTTGATTGCGGTGCAGCGTAAATTCTGTTCGTCTCTTGTCAATCTTCAAAATACTGATTCTATGCTTGACCAACTATGTGTTAGTGTGCGCAACTCTCGTGGAATTCTGTTTGTGTGCGCTTCATACATTCCACAGAACAGCAATGAGGTGATTTACAAATCACATATCGATAATGTTATATCTTTAAGTTCCAAATTGGAGATAATCATCTCTGCGTTCTGGAGGACTTTAACTTGAGTAACATATTTTGGCGAATTTTGAATAACTCCTCCGTCTTACTACCAGTTAATGTAACTAATGTCTGTGAACTCTGCACAGATAAACTCATTTGTCAATAGTCTGAATCGGATCCTAGAACTAATATTCCTAAGTAATGAAGTGAACTATCAGCTGTCTGAATGCAACTCAACGATCTCGAAGGCTATTTCCCATCATATTCCATTAGTATTAACTTTGGGGTACTATGAATATCTCACTGCTCCACTAGAAATTGGTCGTCAAGTTTTCAATTACACTTAATGCAATTTTGACCATTTAAATTCGTTGCTAGAAAGTGAAAATTGGACTGGCTTATTTGCTAATTTGGACACTGCAAATGCCTACAATGTTTTCAAGATGCGTACTTATAATTTGTGTGTGGATCTTATTCCCACCATCCCTAGACGGGTTTATAAGTTACCATGGTACACAAAAAGGCTGAAACACCTCATAAATTTGAAATCTAAGTTTTACAAAAAATACAGAAATTCTGCGAATCCATACTACTACATTCAGTACCATCAATATTTAGCTAAATTGAATAGCTTAAATAAGATACTTCATTTAAGTATATTAATAAGTATGAGGCCAATATCAAAAGAAATCCGAAGGCGTTCTGGAGCTATATTAAAGCTAAGAATTCTAGCTCTGACATTCCTTCTTCGGTTTTTTATATGAGTTTTGTTGCTCAAACTACGTTCCAGACTCAGATGTTATGCATGACTGTAGTCCTATCCCCGAATCCTCTCTTGCTTTTGGTTCGCTCGTTTTAACTGAGGATGATGTTTTGAGATGCATTGAAACGGACATGGATGGTTTTGCAGGAATTATCTTCAAGAAATGTTCGTCTCTGGTTAAACCGCTGACTCTAATTTTTAAAATGTCTTTATCTTCTGACATGTTCATTGACGATTGGAAAAAAGCCTCTGGAACCCTAATTTTCAAAAACGGCAATAAGAATGTTGTTACAAATTATTACATGTCAAAAACATATACTCATATTTGCAGAAAGCCTTTTCCAAAAGAGGCCAACAAAGAAAAATGAAGAACAATTCTGCCATACTGTAAAAGCTTGTTGTGTTTTCAGTTGCTACCAGATTTTTCTTTATTACACAGTTCTTGCACAAAATATTTGAACAAGTACAGTTATTCAGGCAGGTCCTGAAATTCACTTCCAAGTGCAAATGGCTCAAGTTCACTTTGAATACAAATTTTGGTGTTCTGTATTTCTCGTGTTTCATGTCAACTGAATTCTTTTTTCGTTTTCAACATCTCTTTCATTCTGTAAATGAATCAGTAAAAATATCGGGAACCCGGAGCTATGAACATGGAAAAGTGTCGGGGATCCCGGAATACCGGGATTCTGGATCCCGGGATTGAATGCCCTAGTCGACAGTATCAAATCTCGTGGTTTTTACCGAAGACTGCATTCCACGATTGGTATTAAATCGATGCAATTTATATGGACTTCTCTAAAACTTACGACATAGTGTCTCACAAGGTCTTACTTTCAAAATTATCTAGCTTTAGTTTTCACTCCACTTTCCTTCAGTGGATAACATCATACCTATCTAATAGACTTTGAGCGGCCACTATTGATAACGTCACATGCCGACCGTTTGTAGCGAAATCAGGCGTTCCTCAAGGCAGCGTTCGCTTCCCTTTGCAGTTTATTTTATTCGTCAACGATATCAGTTTCTGCTTCCAAACATCTAAGTTTCTTCTATATGTTAATGACCTCAAGATATACTCTGTAATTAAAAACTCGAATGATTCCATTGCGCTTCAAGTGGACCTTGACAAGCTTGGTGCATCCAGAATCACCTATTTCTGAATGTTAGAAAGTGTTCTCACTCCACATACACCCGAAAATTTGGTCCGTTTCCTACGCGCTACTACACCTCAAGGTTGCTTCTCATTTCGGTTTCTGAGTTTAAGGATTTAGGTGTCTATTTTGATACGAAATTGAGTTTCTCAACTCACGTTAACTATACTGCTTCAAAATCGTATACAATATCAGCATTTATTCGTCATAACAGTACTTTTTTATGATCCTTACACGTTGAAGATTCTTTATGCATCGACTATGCATCTTTCATCTGGAGACCATACCATTCTTTATATATAAGCCGCATAGAACGAGTCCAGAAAACATTCATAAAATTTGCCTTACGCTCTCTAAATTTTACGGAACCGACTCCTTCATATGAATCGTGCTGTCTGCCTTTGGATATTAAACCCTTCAGTAGTTGATTCTTCTTCCTCGCTTCCACCTTTGCGTCCAATATCGTAAATGGATCAGTTGATTGTCCTAACCTCTTGGAAAGACTACAATTTAATATCCCTAGGCGAAGTCTAAGGCGTGTAACTCTATTTTACATTGGGTAAGCAAAATCTTACTACGCCAAGAACGCCTCGGTAATGAGAACCCTAACGGACTTAAATAGCATTCTGAATCTTGATTTGTCCCTATCCTGTGGAGCAGTTCGTACCATATTACATAATTCCTTTAAATAGCTATAATCCTTTCCTCACAGTCAATAAGAATTTATTGTTCATTTGACTGAAATAAAAATATAAAAAACTGAATAAAATAAAAAATAAACAACTTTTTAACATACAACGCTTTTATAAATGGACTAAAAATTAGAAAATANAAAAAAACTGAATAAAATAAAAAATAAACAACTTTTTAACATACAACGCTTTTATAAATGGACTATAAATTAGAAAATAATATTTCTCAGTCCCATAGAAATTTTTTCCAAAACTATTGATTTTGAAATTTTAGCAAAAGTCATTATAAACCATTTATGAGATTGCAAACGAAAAAAGTGGGCGCATGCAATACAAAGCATTAGATTTAATTGTCAATAGTCAAACTACATAACATAGACCTAAAATTTCTACAGAGAAAGTACAAATGTGAGATCGATTTTAAGCGGTCATATATTACCCTTCATATCAATTCATGTCTATTACATGCGCCCCACGCTTTACATTTTCAATCTCGTAAATGGTTTATAATGACTTTTGCTAAAATTTCAAAACAAAATGTTATCAAAACAAATTCTATGGGTCTGAGAAATATTATTTTCTAATTTTTAGTCCATTTATAATAGCGTTGTATATTAAAAAGTTTTTTTTTTTTATTTTATTTTATTTTTTTTCTACTTTTTAGTCTTGTCTGTATAAAATTTTGCAATAATTATTAAAATAATTCAACTTACAGTGAAAAACGAACAGAAGACAATGCAAGCAAAATTATTTTGCTCACGTTTAGTATAAACATACATATGTACATACAGACATATAGCAGCTGGTAATTTCATTTAAAGAGAGAAACGCAACAACAAGCACGTGGAAGGAAAGTTAAAAGTTGTGAACTAAAACGATGAATCCGCCTAAACAATATGGTTACTCATGCTTGCCTGGTTATCAGGTTATCTGCTTAAAAATAATTTTTCTGGGGTGTATTTAATTTTTTTTTATATGCAATAGACGAATATGCAACTGTTACGAAGTTGTCTAACTGCGGCAAATGCAGAAATCATTTCACAGTTAGCGATTGTTGGCGAACTTTGCGGTCACGTAATAGTTTTTGTTTTTATCACAGTGCACGGAAGTTCGCGCGAATGACAAAAGTAGCCACAGTAGCATGCTGAAATGACCCGCATACATATGAAGGGGTTAGAATCTGACATCTTTTGAAAATATAAGTTGTACCCATATTTGTATAATTAAATATAGTATTTATTTGGTGACATTCTTTAAATTAGTTAATTAACCTGCATTCATTAATTCAAGAATTATTTCAAATGAATTTACCCAGAATTTACTATAAGTAATCAACTTTAGCTTTAATTATCTGAAAACAATATCAGACCTACGTTCCTTCATTAAATTTTTTTCAAACTGTCAGGAATTAAAGTCCAAAAAAATAAGAAGGTTTTGTTCTAGGATGTTTCGATTCATATGCCTGAGGCCGCATTACGCATTCCATACCATTGATGTGGATATCAGTAGAAGGGTCTTGAGACAAGCTATCTAACGCTGTATTTTGCGCTTACGAAATATAAATAGATGTGTCCTAACGTTATCGCCCCAAAACTAAAAAATTTGGTAACTCGATTTTATTCTAGGTTTCCTTAAGTCTAGCCCAAAACCTTAGCTTTCATTTAGTATGTATATACATAGCTTATATCTGAGAAAACTCTTGTTCTGGAGATATTTCGATTTAAATGGAAAAAAGTCGCTCCAAATACAAACAAATGGTTAAAAATTGACATATTCGTCTAATTTGGTTACTTTAAGTTATCAACATAACATACCCAATTCTCCCCAAAAATTGTCCAATCCCCGATTGCCACCTAAACCGAAATTCCTTGCAAATGGGGGAAATTTCCCACGAGTGGACCTCTCTGCACGCGATACATAATTTGTAGGCTGTGTATGTCGCTTTCCGATCTTCATAGAAATCTCCTTATTTTTGCTAGTTTCTTTGTTTTCATATACATAAGTAAATATATGCATATATATGTAAGTATTCAGTGTGAATTAAGGTTGCGATATATTTTCGATGTCGATATATCAATTTAAAAAATCGATGTCGAAAAAATTAACCACAATCATCGATAAACCTACTTATTTATAAAGCAGTTAAAGTCTTTCTTATTTTTTATGAATTTGGGTATTCTTTTCTTTATATTATTACATTCAGGACATTCTCCATAATTATATTTTTTAATTAATCACTTTTACTTATCAACTTAGCAAATTATGTAAATAACTCTGCATTCCTATTCATTTTATACGGAGGTCTGGCAAGAATATGGGTGTACCACATACGTCTGTGTACCTTATTGAATTTATTTGTTAATGAAATGACATACTATAATATGTAGGTATGTATGTATGTATGTATGTATAGTTATATCCCGCAATTAACCTTTTTTCCGCTGCCAAGAGTTTTCTTTCTTCGAAACTTAACGGACACTAATTCCAGAACCCAGGGTACAAAACAAAGTGCCATAAAAAAGTTTAGGCAATGAAATGTGAGAACGTAATTTCTTGTCTGATCGTGCAAATATCCCACCAGAGGTCCAATGGCGAACGTTATATTGCCTTGTAGGAACATAAACAAGCCGTATCCGGTGGCGAATCTATGAATGCATTTAAAAGATATCAGCGGACTAATTCACCTCTTTTTTCTTGATTCATCTGTAGTCTCACCTGTCGTTTGGCAAATACTCAGCGAAGACAAGCGGCAGCGGCACATGGATCCACGTGCGCAAGAAGCCCATCACAGTCGTGGCGCAGGCTATATCTCTGAAGTTGAAAACATTTATAAACGCTAAAACGAAACAGAAGCAAAATAATGGTACTTTCAATTTCTCATCGCGCTAATTATCACACCAAATAAAGATACACATGTGTATGTAAATTTGTTTGTTTGCTCAACTACTTTGCATAAATTACGTAGGTGTGGTGTTATATTTTATGCCCGCTTATCTGTACTAGAGTAAATATTGATTGGATTTGGAAAGGCAAATTACACTGATACATACATATCTACTTACAAACATGCATACCACGGACAAAGAATAAAAGTTCAAAATTCTTGAATGGAGAGTTCATTGCGCAATATGTAAATATACATATGTAGTTGCAAACTAGTCATAACCCTCTAACCGTTTTTTTTAAATAATGATTTTAAATCACCCGTAATTTTAGATGTTGGTAATTAGGCAACTCTGAGTAATGTTTCAAACTCAGTTTCAATTTACCTGTGAAAATACGTAAGCTAGGTGTAAAAACATTTCGACGTCTGTAGACGGTCAAAACGGTTTAAGGTATGAAAAAATTCGGACACGCATTTGTACGTAATACAAGAAGGATGTTTTATTTCTTCAAATATTTGATCAAAGATATGATATGATACTAAAAAAATAAAAGTAAACATAATTCAAAAGACTGAATATAAAACTAGAGGAGGGATATTACTGTCTTATTTAGTGTGAATGTTCGAAAACAAGTTTTTATTAGGCGCCTAAGACAAAATTTAGTAGTTACTCATATTTGTCGTGTCGTGTCCAGCCCCTTCGCCTGGATTAAAGCCTCGGCACCAACGAGATTTCATAGAGTGGAGAAAGTTACAAAGGAGGTACAAAGCGGATGCAAACCGCACCCACCACTGCAAATAATCCTTAGTTGGGGATGCCTAAGGCCTGTGGATGCACACCGGGTCCAAGGCAAGGTCTTGGACTTCACCAGAGCACACTCCTGTATATAGAAACTTTTGCGTGTAGAAAGATTTTATTAAAAATATGTAATGTACAATGTAGAATACGTCTAATCAAGTGAGGGCTCAAAAGGAAGGAAAAGGAAAGAAAAAGGGCGGAAGAGAAAAACCAAAGTGAAAAATTACACCATAGTTAACGTCAAAAGTAACCACGATAAGGTTGCCATATTTAATAAAGAAAGTGATTGCTCAACACCCCCTCTCTCTTTCTGAAATTAAATTCCGTTTAGTAATGTACAAAAGCTTGAGCTAAATACATGAATTTATCTTTGCTTAAAGCCTTAGTAAAAACATCAGCCAATTGGTTACTCGTCTCCAAATATTTTACATCAATTTCCCGCTGGTTTTGCAAATCACAAGTGTAGAAATACTGTACTTCGATCTGCTTTGTACGCTTCGCCGACTGAGTACTCCTGACCAAAGTTATCGCGCGTTGATTATCCGAAAACAGTGGAGTTGGAATATGCTGTTCATGTCCACAGTCAAACATTAATCGTCTTAAAGATTTTGCTCCTTTTGCTGCACTACAAAGAACAACAAACTCCGCTTCAGTTGTGGAAGTTGCAGTCACCGTTTGCTTTCGTGAGCTCCAAGCAATTGGTCCACCATTTCAAAATGCTGCCCAATCTGTGATACTACGCCTTGTATCTTTGGTCTTCACCCCAATCAGCGTCAGAATACATCTCAAGCTGTAACGATTTGGAGTTCAAATGAAAGGGTATACCATAATCCAAAGTACCTTTTAGATATTTTAAAACTGGCAAGGTGTGCCAGTGTGACAGTGCAGGTTTCTCTAAATATCTTCTTAGTACGCCAACGATATAAGTGATGTCAGGCGTGGTACAAATCATTAAATACATAAGTGACCCTATCGCTTCGCGGTATGGAACATTCTTACTGTCAAAACCATCTGCGTCATCTTTGGAAAAGCGCTCCAAGCTGTTTTCAGCGTAGATGCGTTGAAATAATTTCAGTGTTTTCTTTTTTTTGTCAACCTGAAAACCTACGAAAAATTCGGCTTTGCGTTGAGTTATTTCAAATTCAATGCGCAATTTATGTAGTAATTTTTTAACTACGCTGGAATTATTGCCGCATATTAGCCCGTCATCGACATATAGTACCAGGTATACTATATCGTTGTTTGCTGTGTAAGTAAAACACATAAATCAGTCCATGATTGTTCAAAACCGAAATCTACTAGAAACTGTACAATTCGTATATTCCATTGGCGTGATGCTTGTTTCAAACCATACAAGCTTATCTTTAGTAAACATACGCGATCGTTTCGACTGAACCCTTTTGGTTGTTCCGTGTAAATAGTTTCATCTAAGTTGCCGTGCAGAAAATCCGTTTTAATGTCAAACTATATCATTTTCATACCCTGCGTTGCAACTATACTAAGTACCGCCCTGACAGATTCATACCTGACGACGGGTGCGTTGATTTCTCCGTAGTCAACACTTTGTGTTTGAGAGCATCCCTTTACGACTAAACGAGCTTTATATTTTTCGACTTCGCCAAGCGAATTGAATTTCTTTTTAAAAACCCAGCGATTGGTAATAACATGCCTTTCGCTTGTTCATGGAACCAAAACCCATGTTTTGTTTTCTGAAGAGACTAAATTTACTCATTTATCGCCTCCGTCCACTTGTCAGAATCATCGCTTGAATTCAGCAACAGTTCCTTCAGCCGCTTTTTGTGCTTTTGATGCGCTTCTTAATACATAGGGACTGCGTGATCATTGCAAATTAGTCTGCGTTTGTGAGTCCTCCATTTCTTCCACTGGTGTCTCAGTGCCTTCATTGCTGCGTTGTTTAGTTTCGTAAAATTCATTGACTACAGTACGTTTTTCGTTGAATATGACATCACGTCGAATAAGCACTCTTCTGTTAGTTGAATCGAAAACTCTGTACGCCTTGCTACCTTCGTTATAACCGACTAAAATGCCTTTTATCGAATTCTTGTCCCACTTTGTACGCTGCTCTTTGGGAATATGGATGTATGCATCGCAGCCAAAAACGCGTATATGTCCTATAGACGGCTTTTGCCATACCATTTCTCATATGGAGTACACCCACCAATTACATCAGAAGCCGTTCTATTTTTTACGGTAACTGCAGTATGCGTTACATCAGCCCACAAGTATAATGATAATTGTCTGCTATGAAGCATTGATTTCGCACTCTCCACAACAGTTCTGTTTTGTCGCTCTATAAACCCGTTTAGCTCAGGCGCTCTTGGGGTGGTTACCTCATGCTTTATTTTAGGTTCTTTCTTCTGAATCCGTATGAAAAGCTGTATTGGCTCCTACGTTCGGGTTTTTATAGGCGAACCGTTTTTTTCATATTTTTGACCTATGTGCGCTTTTATTCGAAACCTAAATGTTTCGGTACCGAGTTTTGAGAGTATTGGATACTTTTTAAATCGGTACCGAATATCGATCAATACTTAAAAGTATTGACTCAGCACATCACTAGAAACAGGCAACATGTAAACACAAAACAGCTGATATGCACTTTGACGCTTTATCCATTTTTACCCAGAGAAAAAGTCCGGGCTGTTTTGGGCAGGAAGAAGAAGACACTTACGATCCAATACGTTCCAATTTTTACTCTCTATTACCCATTTTGTTGTGTACGGGAATGATTTCTGGGCTATCTTGGGCACCCGCGGGATCCCGCGTTGCGTACGGGAAAGAACCTTTTGTTTTCTAACAGCAAACGATTTACTTCCTCATTGCAAAATTCAAGGCCACCGTCAGACCGTATACGCTTTATTCTATGCCCGTCCGCTTGCACATCCGCCAGAAACTGCATCAGTTTGTTTAGAACAGTAATTCCCAAAGTGGTCCACGTAGACCCCCAGGGTTCCACGGGAGACTCGACGGGGGTCTCCGTTGGCGTGAAAAAAATATATGGGGCCCATGTAGTTGTAAGTGGGGTCCACGAAAATTCATTTGGTTTCGATAATAAAGAGCCAAAATGGTTGCTTATTTATGGCTTATTTATTTAACTTTAATTTTTTTGAGTGGTGTATAGTGCTCTTGACGCACTGGTGAGCTTACCGTCACTTTGTGTCATCATACGTGGAGAAGCCTTAAATGCCATCTGCAGAATAAAAAGAAACGGATGTTGGTATAACAATGAGTGAGGCGATGCGGCAATTGCCGGCGGCAGATATTTCAGCACTTGTGTCTTTTCAATTCTACAGGATAGTACGCCACCATTACCTTTGTTGAAGAGATTGTAGAGAGAGTTCCCTGAGGGGGAATTATGGTTTACTTCCCGCACTGAGCCCACGTGCCTTGTCGAATCGTACATTGTCGAATCTTCACTGATGGCTCCAAAACTGACTCAGGGTCAGGATCTGGAGTATATTTCGAAGTTAATGGGGATAAGTTTCACTTTTTCTTTTAGGGAAGATGCTTCTGTCTTCCAAGCTGAGGTATTTGCAATCCCCAAAGCCATAGACTACATGGTGGAAAATAGGTGGGGTTAAAGGAGTTTACGTGTCTACTGGTACAGCCAAGCTGCACCTAATGCATTGGCCAGCCCTTTTTCTAAGTACTTCCAAACTAGTTCGGCAACGCATGTCCGACTAAATTATGTTGCTAAACATAACGAGGTTGCTTTACTCTGGGTCACTCGGGAGTGCCTGGAAATGAGACATTTGACCCTTTGGCCAGAGTTGGCTTAGACCAGGCATTCCTCGATCCGCAACCAGTTATAGCACTCCCCACTTCGACCATCGAAGCAACCATCAGAAACTGGGTGGCTACTTCGCTTATCGATGACTGGAAGCCATCGAGTGGATGCAGGTGGGCAAAACTCATGTTGCCTTCAATCTCAGAAGGTCTGTCTAGTTTTTTCCTCTCACTGAGAAGATGGGACTGCTGACTGGTCCCTTCACGTGGCACAAACACCTGACTGTGATAGGCGTAAATTACAACTCCATTTGCCCATCCTGCTTTGAATAGGATGAGACGGTGGAACACTTCTAGAGTTTCTTGCTTGCTTGTTTGTTTACCATCGACTTATCTAGATGCGGTCTCT